GTCATACCCAGGACTAGCAATTAAGAGGTGGTTCCACGCTCCTCAAAACCTCCAATCTCCCCATCAGAGACCTTGCTGCCGGATGTAGCTTATAGTCATACCCAGGACTAGCAATTAAGAGGTGGTTCCACGCTCCTCAAAACCTCCAATCTCCCGATCAGAGACCTTGCTTCCGGATGTAGTTTATCGTCATACCCAGGACTAGCAATTAAGAGGTGGTTCCACGCTCCTCAAAACCTCCAATCTCCCGATCAGAGACCTTGCTGCCGGATGTAGTTTATCGTCATACCCAGGACTAGCAATTAAGAGGTGGTTCCGCTCCTCAAAACCTCCAATCTCCCGATCAGATACCTTGCTTCCGGATGTAGTTCATCGTCATACCCAGGACTAGCAATTAAGAGGTGGTTCGCTCCTCAAAACCTCAATCTCCCGATCAGAGACCTTGCTTCCGGATGTAGTTTATCGTCATACCCAGGACTAGCAATTAAGAGGTGGTTCCACGCTCCTCAAAACCTCCAATCTCCCGATCAGAGACCTTGCTTCCGGATGTAGTTTATCGTCATACACAGACTGGTAGTTCATTTGAATTTATTCACAGATACAATATAATTTTGTACGAAAAATTATTTAAAATTTATTGGTTTTTGCCGAAGCAATATGTATAAGTTTCATAAATTTCTGTCACGTGTGAAACGAAATTACTTATTCAAACGGTACCTACTAAAAAAAAAAGCTCTAAAATTTTGTTCTAATTCACTACAATAATTGCGACGAGAAACATCAAGTATTCCACGAGAACAAATGTGTTTACACTCCTAATAAAACAATAGAGAGAATACAAAAGGCACAAAGTTCTTGATTGTACATAGAAGACTTTTACCAGCTCATCAAATATGGTAGTTGATTCAGCAAAATGCCGGCATGCTAAGTATTTCTCTCTTTTTTTATTTTTAGGTTATGAAAAACTGGAGTGATTTTTCAACTGAGACAATTTCTTTTCAAATTTCTCACGATTCAATAAATGCTTTGAAATGAATAAAGTAAAGAAAATTCGAAGACGAATCTCACATATTCGAACGATGAAAGTTGTGTCCGGATACAATATTTTGCCCGTCGGCGACTTCCCTGGATGACATCAAATATTTCTTTCAAGTTGTAAATCTAAAATGCGAGATTCAATGGAGATAAAATTTTTGTTGAGTTTCGTTTTTTTAGTCTTGGAGATACAATGCATAAATAAGCGAATACAAAGACACACACACACTCCACGCACACACACACATATATATATATATATATATAATGAAATGCATTAAGTCCGCCAAATATTTAATATATCTTCTGTTCATACGTTATTTTTATAGATATAATTTATATAATAAGTAAATTGTCTGTCTTTAATTAAGCAGTATTAATTACTTTTACCGGCCTATATATATATATATATATATATATATATATATATATATATATATGTGTGTGTGTGTGTGTGTGTGTGTGTGTGTATATACAGCCATGGCCAAAATTATGGAGCACCTATAAAAATTTGAGATAATAGTTTAAACCTACGTATTTCAAGTTTAAGAATCGTACAGTGAACAATTGAGAGCAAATGTAAAATATTTAACAGTAGATTGTAATGTTTTTTTTTGCTTTAAAGCCTCTCTCAAGAGCTTTAGCTGAGTTTCTACTAAATTCATTCCAATATTCAAAATGATTTATTGTCATATTGTTTTGTAATTTTCAGGTAATATTTGATTCCTACCAGTGTATATTTAATTGAAAATGCCTCCAAAGAAGCAGCTTTCAGAGATTAAAGGGCACAAATTGTTGCTTTATCTGGTGAAGGATATTCTCAGGTAGAAATTGCCAGGAAGATGGAATGTTCAGGAAAGGGGTTCAAACAACGATTAAAAGATACAAAACAAAGTCTTTCAAAACCAGAAAAGGACAAGGCCGTAAAAAGTCTACAACCCTTGGGGAAGACAGATCTTTGAAAAGAGCATCCCTTGCAGATAGGAAGAAAAGTTCTTCAGAGCTTGCTGCTGAACTTAGGGAGGATGCAAACAAAAAACATATCAGCTCGAACAGTGAGAAGAACGTTATTAGAAGTGGGATTAAAGGACGCAAAGCCAGGAAGAAGCCATACTTGTCTCAGGCCAACGAGAAAAAAACGACTGGAATTTGCAAAAACCATGAAAATTGGACACCTGATGATTGGGGCAAAATTGTTTGGTCTGACGAAAGTAACTTTGAGGTAAGTTAACTGATTCTATTTCCTAAACTTTGGATGTAATAATCGAAATTTTTATGTGAATACACATCCATAACATTTATTCAAAAATTGTAACAAATTCTTTTTTTTTCATCAGATTTTGGCACCCTGGAGCGGTTTTATGTTCGCCGTAGGGAAGGAGAGGCATTTCATCCTGATTGTGTGGTTCCAACTGTAAAATTTGGAGGAGGAAGCGTAATGGTTTTGGGCTGCATGGCTTCTTCA